GGCAGTGGTGCGCTGGGCGGCGCCGGCTGGGAGGAAAGAGCTCTCCCGTCGAGTAGCAAAAAAAAAAAAAAAAAGCCAAAAAGCAGGCTTTAAGGAAAGGGGTCGGTGGTAGGCAAACAGGGAGTGAGCCTACAGCATTGAGATACTGCAGAAAAGAGAATCATGGAGGATATGTGAACAGGAAGGAGGTTGAAGACCAGCAGTGTCTCCTGCTGCGTCCGGTAGTGGAGAGGTTAGGGGTGTAGCTTAATACATCCCTAAAAACAGGGGTTCAAAACAGGCCACTGTTCTGCTACATTTAAAAGATTCGCTTTTAAATTCAGGCTCTGGAGTGGGATACCCTAGGAGGTGGTCGACTCCCCATCCCTGGAGGTATTTAAAAGAAGGATAGATGAGGTGCTTACGGACATGGTTTAGTGGTGGGATGGCAGGGTTAGGTTAACGGTTGGACTTGATGGTCTTAAAGGTCTTTTCCGACCTAGACGATTTTATGATTCTAAAGGAGAAAATAGGTGTATGTTTTGTATGAATTTTATGTCTCTTGTTTTACTGTCTGCCAAGTGAGGTAAGTAACCTCTAGTGTTTGCTGAAGTGATGAAATGTGTATGTTGCAGAGAATTTACTACTTTTTTTTTTCCTTTTTTTAAGTCAGACGCCATCATGAATAGAAAGAAAGAGTTCTCCTTGGCGGGTGACAGTAATGAAGAGCTTAAAAGAAGGAAAATTAGAGCTATAAGGTATGTGAATTTTGAGGTTACTCTAGTGGTTGTATTATTTTTAAGTTCTGACAGTATAATTGTCAGGAAAAAGTATTGACGAAATGTAGAATATATTGTTTGTATTCTGCAGTGTTGCAAGTGAGTCCATTTTTATATGTTATGTATGTGCATAAAACATGGTTTTTGTAAAGTTTAAGCATTTGGAGTTGGTTCAGGGAAAAAGACATTTTAAATGTATCTTGGGATGCTGTCAAATACTGAGTTACTGGGCTACCAATATCTTGTATTGATCTGTATGTATATTTTACAACTAAATAAGTCACTGTTGAGCTATTTGATATTTTTTGGTTAAATACCTATAGAATGAGTGTGATTAAAATTGATTATTGTCTATTAAAGCGGGTTCTAGTTACATTAAATGCCAGTTCTGCATACCTAAAACTCGTACCCCCTTTATGGATGAAAATTCGCTATCATAGAGGTAAATTGCTTTGCATCTGGTTCAAAGAGGGTAACAAAATTCTTGTGTCTGTGGTGTGTGTTTCATTACGTGCACTTTCTTCTACCGAATGTTGTTTGGTAGAAAATGGGCAAGCTTAGTTCTAAGAGAGCTGGAAATCAGAATTCGTGTTTGGTTGATAACCTTAATGATCTTAAACCTTTACTTTTACTTGTGAAGGCAATGTCTTAAGATACTAGAAGAGGATTTTACAGAACCAAGTCTGAGAAACAGTGATTCGTGTCATATGTCAAAAGCCACGAGTGTGAAAGGTAAGGCTTTTGGATCTTGACTTGTGTTTCCAGCAGTTTTGTGGTGTGCAGTATTCACTGTTAATTTATGGTTTTTATGGTCTGTTAAAGACAATAGATGGGCTGCCAGATTTGATTAACGCGTTGTTTATTTGCTACATATTCAGTACTCGGCGAGAACAACCAATATCTTTTCTCTTCCCCTCCTGCTGTTTTTCTTGACAAAGCTGATGAAAAGTTTGTTTTAAAAGAAATCTCATTTTTTCTGGGATTTTCTACTTGAGTATCTTTTTTACAAGAGTTGTAAAGTGGTGTTGAGTACATAGTATTTGTGGATGCTTTATGAAACGGGGCGGGGGGGGAGGGGAGGGTTTTCTGTACTATAGGTACACATTTTGAATGCATGTTTTCTTTTGCCTTTTTGCCTTCCCTTTCATGTATTCATCCTGTACTGAATGTAGCAGCAACCCAATGTAGCTAACAATGCAGATAATATCCTAATCATTAAATGCAAGGAAATTTTTGTAATTCCGAGGTAACTTCCACATCTATTTAATTGGACTTGTATTCCTAGTTTTCAAATTCTGTCATTACAAAAGTCAATGTCCAAATTCCTGTTGACTTGATGAATATTATGTAGAGGGCTACTCCAGTGACCATGTATTCCTGTTTGTCTCGCTGATTAAGATGCCCTACAGTTAACACCATTTGCTTGCAAGTGTTTCCTATGCTTGATTTTACAGCATTGCATGATGACGTGAAGGATGAAGACACTGATTTGTTTGGTTTCTCTTCTGCAGAAGTAAGTTGATCTAAAGCTTTCTGCTCAGTAGTCACTGTGGTGGTCTGAAATAGTGATATTACAGAATCTTTTGCATTTTCATTGAAAGTGATTAAAGCAAGATCGGATTCCCCCTGAGATAAGGGCCTACACTTCATAACCACATGCTCCCCAGCAAGTCGCTGATAGTATTTCTCGTTATGCCGTATAGTTATATGGTGCACATTTGATGTCCAAAGTCTGGTTTTAGGAAAGTTTAAGCTAAGGTTTCCATAGTGCCCCATGTTGCCAACTCTGTCCCACCCTCTCATCTGTACATAATGTGAAGAAAGCAACCGATGCATATATAAGTATTAAAAAACAAAAACAAAACAATAAAAAAAACCAAACCAAAAAAAACCTCTTTCCTGGTCAGCTCTCAAATAAAAAGACTTAAAAGGTTTTTTTGAAACACAACTGCACTTTGCACAGTAGTGCACAACTTACAAATATATCCCTGTTTCTGCATTTAAAAAAAAATGCTCTGCTTGTGAATCTTTTATGTGTTACGACATGGTACCACTATTTGTTTCACAGAAATCTATATTTTGGACAAACACTAAATGTTGGGGGTTTTTTTATTTTTAATTTATGCAAAAGGTATGTGGCCATTCTGTTTTTTCTGTTGTGAACTTCAGATTTACCCTTTATTGCAAAATACAAATGAGACAAATGTTTGGAATTAAGCCCTGTCATTAAACTTCATTGAAAAAATAAGTTATAATCAAGTTTATGTTAGAAGTTTTGCATAATAGCAGGGTAAAGTACTAAGAGCAAACAGGAAGTCAGCATTCCTTGTACTAGGAACACTTCTCATTTACCGCAGAGATAGACTGATGGCTACAGAGCTTCAGCTTGGAAGCTGATTTCTTACACCTCTGGTTGCTCAATTCAGCAGCACTAGCTTGGAAGCTTGGTCTTGTTGAAAAAAGGGGGCCTGGGTACTGAAGGTAAAAACAGGCTTAAAGAACATTTTTTTTACTGGGGCTTCGATTTAACCCTGTATTTGAACTTGCTTTACTTTTTCCCCTCTGAATTTAGACCAAATCTGATTTTAAACTTGGGCTGTGCGGTGGCAACTCACAAAGGCTAGCAAGGTAAACCTTTATTAACTCAACTGTTTTTTGTGTGTCTAGATGCCAGACCGGGGGAGGACTTGACCGAGCAGGCATTTCTAGCCATTTTTCTTGGGCTGATTTTTTATTTGTTTGGTTCTAATATGTTTTTTAAACTTTACTAATGTGTTCTCAGCATGCATGTCTAGTACTGTGGTTTGGCTTGAAAATGTTTGGAACCAAAAGCTTTAAACACTGTGGTAATTCCCTGATAAGGGTTCAGAGGGAGAGTGAGAACTGCTGAAATGCCAGGCTGTGGTAGGAAGGACTGTATCACTGAAGCGCCTCCTTCCCTTCACTCCCCTCCTGCTCCCACTACATGTCCTGCTAAGATAACCAGTCACAGCTATAAAGATTAGATGCCAGCAATGATTGTCACATCTAAATTACATTAACTTGCTTATTTGTCTAGCCTATGTGAACTTGAAGGAAGTCTTAAATTAGGTGTCTTTCCCGCTGCTGCCATTGCTGTGGAGATTCACGTTGATACAAATGAGAATAGGCCCAGATAATTCTTACAGATGTGTTACATAAGGAACCTGTTCTATACAGACCTGTTCTGTAAGGGAGGTTTAGGAAATCTGTCTTCCGAGATTGGTGCATGTAAAACACACAGCTAACCTTGCCCAAAGTAGAACAGAAACTCAGTATTTCATGTATGGCTGTCAGTCTCTGCAGCAGTGTTCTCCCAAGCCCTCTCACAGTCCGTCAGAAACACCAGACTGAGCACAGGAGTAACAACGCCATGCTTCCTGTAATTAGGCTGGTTTATGCCGACTGCTTTTGTGAGAGTCTTGACAGCTGTTTAGATCCATGTGGACTTTGCAGAAGAGCAGAGATGGGTGACCATACAACGTAATTCAAGAGCCTTCCTAACAGGTTGTCAGTACATAGTTTTATTATAATGTCATGTATTCAAAGATTTTTAACAACCTAATCAACATCTGATAGGATATCTAACGGAAAATATTTGGGCAACAAATAAAAAATGAATCCTGGAATGTTAATGGTCATGCATTTTACCCTCTTTGAGGATAAAAATCGCTACTGCCTACTGAGGTTTTTGTTCAGCCTTGCCAAAATTGTTGGAGGGAAAACAGTTACTGAAGATGAATTTTAAGACGATGCTAGTAGAAAGGAAACTTTTTGAAAAATGAGGTATTTGTAGTATATCGCAGTCTACTGTTTTAAAAAGAGGTGTATTTAATGACAGATTTTGGAATGCTCAAATTGTGTCTTAACTATTTGTGGGAATTTTTGATACTTTATTTAAAATGTGTAGGTTTTTTACTTAAAGTTTTGTTTTGCAGGCTCTTCAGTCACAATACTGAAGACAAAAGTGTTCAGCACCCAGTTTCTTCAAATGATGGGCTGCGGGATAAACCATCTCTAGCTCCATCAGCAGACATGGTGTGTTAATATGGAATTTCCTTATACTCTCACTCGTTATTTTTGCATATGCATAGTTAATACTGCACTTCTTAAAACACAAAAACTGGCAGCCTTAAGAGTTATGTGCTATTACTCCATCTTAATCATAGAATTGATGTGCAGCTGTAAAGTAACCTGACAAAATGAATGCAGCTCAAACCCAACCAGATCATATTTGAGGAGCAATAGTGTATTCAGCTGGCTGTGAAACCCATGTATTTTGAATTTAGTTTTTTTTAAAAAAAAACAGCTGAGGCATCACAGTATTTGGGTTTGGGGCTTTTTTATTTCTTTTTAAGCTTGAGACAGCTGCAAGGCTCATGCAACACATCCTTAAAGTAGTCAATCAAGGACAACAAGATTGTTGGGCAACTGGATCTGTCTTGAAACATTTTATTAAGTTTTCTACCTGATCTTTCTGAATGAGGCTTGTGAAGTTTTAGGCCAGGTGAACTACTGTTGTGGATATTTTAAAATGACAGAGTGAAACGGAAATGAATGATACATCCTGTGCCACTCCTGCTCTCTTCTATGGAGATTGTCCTATACAGTTACCTTGAAAGAATTGTAACTTGCAAATGTCTCTCTTGGCTTCTTAGGTAGTTCTGTTACAGTGCCCATTGAAGTTTGAAAAAGGTTGTCTTTTCTGAACATTTTTTTGAACAGTCTATGTGAAACAAAGCCATGTCATGTTATCTTAAACTTCAGTATGTTACCATTGACAGTAACAGGAAATAACTGGAGGTCATCTTTGAAGTATCTTGAGGTTGAGGTTGTAAGCCGTATTTTGATGGTAGTCACCTCTTCTGTTGACAGAATATTTTCTTTCTTTGGAGAAAGTTGTTGAGAATGAGCTCATGTGAAAATCCACATTTATTGAGATCCTAGTCTAACTGCTACTTTCATTTCTTAAGGTTTTTTTCAGACTCCTTTATTTTGTGGCTGGTGATTACTAGATCTTTAATGGTATAATTTCTTACATCACTGAATGAGTATATCCATGTTTTGAGTTTTGGAAGGGTTTTTATTGCTGCGTCATTGATCATAATAAGAACCACAAAGTAGAGAGGGAGCAATGTAATTCCATGACATTTTTGCCTATTATGTCTCCTTGCATTTGCTCAAAATCGAGTGGGAATAGTTGCCATAGGGAAGTGTTCCTGAAACAGTTAACATCCAAGTCATGATAGGAAGAGGGTTTTCTTCCTTTTTTCTGCTTCTAGGAAGGAGATGTAATTGGTCAGGGGTGTTCAGATACATTAATTGGGAAGTTGTTCTAGAGATGAAAGTGACAACACACGTCTTTAATAAACTCCATAATGATGTGTGTGACTAACAGGTCTCTCCCAGATTGTGGGCAGCACTTCCTTTCATTTACACTAGTGTCTGGTCAGAGGCAGAACCTGACTTTTTGGGGCATCCCCACCTGATGATGTTCTCATTTTGCTTTTAGCAAAATACCAGCACTCTAATCAGTAGTCTTTAGTGCTAGCTTTAGTAGTGCCAGTACAATGTATGTGCATTTGCTTGTGTGTCAATTCATATGCAAGTATTTTATTGTCTTTTCTTGCATCAGCATAACACTGGGACCTTACTACATTTTTTCATTTTTGTTGTTTTTCCCCAAATGACATTCCTAAATATTTTACTTCTTTCTAGGCTGCAGTATTGCCATTCTTCAGTCTTGCATGTTTTCTTTCCTCTATATTTGTAACTTTATTTTGCTCTTCCTTCATGTACTATCTTTTAATTTGGTTTTTGTGCATATGTGTGCAAATAAATTGCATGTGTTAAACAATTTAGAATCCATGTTTCAGAAATACTACAATGTAAATGTTCTTAGTGTAACTCAGGTGAGCTAAGTGTTTTGGGCCTGTTGACAGCTGTAGAGCTGCTCAGAGCCTTACACAGATTATCAGTCACCCATATCAGGTGCCTCTTTGTCAAAATGGCAAATGAGTGTAGCCCGTCTTGTCTTCCAGTCATACAAGCAACTTCATATTCATTGGCAAATCTTTCCCCAGGACCACGAAACTATGGAAGATATTGATGAAGCTTTGTGCATAGCTATTTGTAATCTCAGCCACTTACATGATGCAGATGAGGTGGGTGAAAATAAGTTAAATAGATCAGGAAATATTAAATCCTATCCTTGACTGAAGCTTTTTGTTATGAGTAGTCACGCACTGACATGCTATTTAAACATGGGTTTGGTTTTTTTAACAGACACAATACGCAAAATGTGTAAATCCAGTAATGCATTTTTATGCACAGTATAGAATGTAGGAAGAATCCTAAAATACTGGATAATGCTGTTAATAGGTTTTACTGAGTAACCTATGCACTTCATCAATGATAATTATTTTATTTAAACTTTAGCTCTTATTAAATGTGCTGTGGAAGAGCTTGCAGTTCTGTCTGCCATTTATTTACTTTTTACATGTATTCTAAGATACCAGGCATAGAAGTGTTTAACAATCGAAAAGCCTAAAGCAGATTCATTCTAGTCAGTGTAGTATGAAGTGTCCTTAAAACCTGTTTCCCATTCCCTTTCTAACTTGTTTTGCTGCAGTGGTTGATGTGTGAGTTAAGCAGAGTTATGTTAAATACCTAATTCATATACTAACAGCATCTTGTAAAAACCTACAATTTCAGCAGCTCTAATACAATAATTGAGGCATACAACTGTGGTCTTCCAACAGCTTTTCAACAAAGACTGAGAATTGCCAAAGCAGTGTCGCATTACTGAGATTTTTTTTCCATAGTGTCTTCATTAAACGTAACTATACCGACAACACTGATGGTTAGCCAGAGGAAGAATCTTTTTTTTTTTTCTTTATGCTCACAATGAGTTTTAAAAAACAGTAGAAATCTTAGCATGCTAGTTATCTTTGTACGGTGCTGTATTAGAATGTCAAGTAAGGAAGGTGGGGCTGAGATCTATGTGGTTTTTGCCTCATATAGCTAAAGACCTCAGTTGACATGAGGATCCAGGCAGTGTGAGCTGACTAGAAGACAACAAAGGGAGACAACTAGAGAAAACAAAGAAATTAATGAGCTATGATTTTTCCTCCGTTACATTACGTAGTCATCCTCTGAGTTGTCTTTGGTTTGTTTTTTGTTTTTACCCAACCACAGTGTGGTTTAATGTCATTCTTTCTGCTGGAGTATTGATCGCTGTCTTACTGTTCATTGCTTCTGTTGTGAATTTGGAAAAAAAAAAAGAAAAAGTAATGTGAGAACAATGAAGTAATACTCATGAATAAAGAGATAATAAATGCATGTTTATTCAATACTGAATGAAACAGATGCTGAAATACTTCGAATTGAAAGTGAAGCAGGAAGGAGACAAAGTTGCAGAAACTGCAGATAGAACGTTTGATGAACTTATTACTTCTCTCATGTCAAGGTAGTAATGTGGTTTGTAGTATGGTGGGGAGGAGTTGTTTTTATCAAGTTGTTTCTAACTCAGATAAAGGAATTCTAAATAAAATTTCAGTCTTCCTCATAACAGTATTTTGTAATACCTGTCTTCAATTTTTGTGCAGTATTTTTGCCCTTTCATAGTAGCATCTTGGAGCTGGTTTGCATGATTGAAAAACACTAGTCTATGCAGCTTTGGCTCTTCAAAAAAAGAAAAAAACTTCAAATACGCTTAATGATACTGGTTTTCTGAAGTGGCTCCATTATGAGGGTTTTTTGATATTGCCATTAGTGGATGATCAGTTTAACAGCAAAAATAACATTTTAAAAAATTGACTTCCTGCAAATTTTCAAGCTGATGGAAGCCCAAGGACCCTTTATTTCTTAATTTTCAAAAATATTTTTATCTTCAGATTTGGCAAGGGGTGTCAAAGCTTAGGATTGCAGAAGAGCCTCTAAGAGGGGGATCGGATCTCTTAATAGACTGAATTGCAAAATCCAACTGTTTAGTTTTCAGTTGGATGTGTAGGAAAGTATCAGGAGGCTTGAATGGAAGAGTGCTTTACATATTTAATAAAAAAATGTTTCTCCAAACAAAGTGGCTTTTCAGTGTGAACTCTGTAATTTTTGTGGTTCCTCCGCTTACTAAGTGAGTTTTCCATACTTTTCACTGTTGGAGAAACATGATAGTTCCTTGTGAGATGCATCCTCTTTGTGTTGTGGTATTGAATAGGTATGTCTGAGTGCTTATTAAATTCTGAAAAGTAATTTTTTAATACAGGAAAAAGAAGTTGTGTGCAGAATTAGTGAAGAGCATCAACAACTACAATGCTGGTATTGCAAAAGCTAAGGAAGTCATTAAAGAGAAGGAAAAGTGCTTGATTGGTGCCATTAGGATTGCAAAGGAATTAAAAATGACACCTTCTGTAAGAAGCTATTGTGATCTCACTCAGGTAGTTACATTCTTGCACTGAAATAATTTATTTTTAATGAATACATTCAAATTTGGGTTGAAAGTTTCTGTGATCTGTCTTTCAGTTCGCTGACTTCAATATTGAAATTTTTGCAGTAATGTATTCTTACCCCATCTCTATACATATATAATTTGGTCTTGCTCACAAATTAGGGTCTGGTGACTGACATGAAACAAAAAAGATGGTCCTTGCCTTGAAGAGCTTGCTATCTGAAACAGCAAATGGAGGGGTAGGACAGGAAAACTGTGACACAGTACTAATCAGTGAAAGAGCAGTGTTTTCAGCACTTAAGAAGTCTCTCAAGCATTTCCCATTCCAGAGCTCTCCCAACCTTCTCACTGAACTGCTCCAGAATTAGTAGCCAACCTCTCCTGATCCTCTTGCTCCCAGGCCTTTGCTTCCATTCTTCCTCCCCATCATATCTGCTGTTCATAGAAACCCATGCTACCGCCATGCTCTATCAGAGCAAAGGTCCATCCTGTGAAGTTTTCTGTCTCTGACAACAGAGAGGAAAAGACACTTGTAGGAAGAGTCTTAAGAACCTGGGCATTTAGTGAGTATAGGATGTTGAAGGTTAAGAATTTTATGATCACTGGGATACATCAGGGTCATTACACTGAGTAAACATTATCTCATTGTGTCATAAGCTTCCTTGAATGTCTTCATAATGCTTGCAGCAGTGTATATGTGGGTGTATATATGTACATTATATGTATGTATTCATATGCAATGGCAGTGAGTTCCACATTTTAATATTTAAAATGAGGTGTTTATAAAATAGCTCTCTCTTTCCTTTCTCAGTGTGCTACCCAGTTGTTTCATTTGGAGCCTTTGTAGTCCTTGCGTTGAGAAAAATAATGAATAACTGGTCTCGTTGTTCTTTGAAGTAGTGTGATTTTTAGACTGTCGTGTTCCCTGTATCCAGTTGTCACTTTCCATATGAAGAAACTTGCTTTCTCACCTGACCCAGAAAAGAAGTTTGATTCCTCCTTTATTGTGTTATTTGCCTTCGTCTTGCCCAGTGTGACTTTTGGGAGCTGGCACCCAACAACTGTCCTCCCATAGGCCTATCTTCTTACTTAGAAGTCTCAGTTGCTGTTCATACAAAAGAAAAATCTGACTCCTGCTTTTGTTCACATACTAACATTACAAAATCCCCAACCATTATGTCTTAGCAATGTAAGAAGACATAGTTGAGAATTGGCTATTGGCTGTTAATGAGTAAACTCTTGGGGGGTTTTTTTCTGTAAAATTAAAGATGTCATACTCTGGCTTTGGCATGTTGTAGATAATAGGTGCCTGTATAATCTGCTTTTTGTAAAATAGAAGCTAAGACTGTACTTCTTAATTCCAGGTTATTTTTAATTTAAAGTTGCCAGTTGAGCCTGAGCTCTCAAGAGTGAATATTTTGAAGGAAAAAATATCTCCAAGGTAAATGACTGGAGCGGGAGGTACACTGGGAGGTAAATGAATGGACTGGTTATCTTAATTAAAAAAACTGTTCATGTAACAGTTAAACAGCAGAAATAGAGTTGCTTCACTTGCATTTTATGGAAAAACTACTAGTTCAGTTGTATACAAACTCATCACTAACAATGCGCAATAGTGTTCATTTGAGGCATCGGGGAGAAAGCACAATGTGCTGCTATGTAAAGAAATATATACGCTTTTAAAAGTGGCAGAAGTCTGTCAAGAATTTTTTAAACTTGCTTTCCTTCCCTTATAAGTAGAAATAAATTGGGGAAATAATGGCTTAATTATTTTTTAAAAAAATTAATCCATTTTTCATCTTCAAGAAAGACTGAAATGCTTTTTGGGGCACTGATGTCTTAAGAAATCTGTGGAAAATCCCAGTTGACCTCACTGGAACTGACAAATACAATTTCTATACCAGAAATGAACACGAAAATATGTTACGGCTGTGGTACAGCTGACCCTATGCAGCTTGGTCATAAGGCTGGTCAGAGTACTGTAATCCTAGTGCATAAAAGCCACGTTCAGGAACAATGAAGGAGGGACAGAATGAAGATGGTGTTAGGTTGGAACATCTTGGGGATCCTATTATATTTCAGGACATGGAACCACACTGGGGGATAGAGTGGTTGTATGCCATCAGATTTAGACTGGCACACAGGAATGTTGATCATTTGCATGCAAAGTGTGAAAAATTATCATAGAATCATTTAGTTTGGAAACGACCTTTACGATCATCATTCTAACCATTAACCTAACACTACCAAGTCCACCACTAAACCATGTCCCTAAGTGCCATATCTGCACGTCTTCTAAATCATAGAATCATAGAACAGTTTGGGTTGGAAGGGACCTTTAGAGGTCATCTAGTTCAACCCCCCTGCAATGAGCAGGGACGTCTTCACCTAGATCAGATTGCTCAGAGCCCTGTTCAGCCTGACCTTGAATGTTTCCAGGGATGGGGCATCTACCACCTCTCTGGGCAACCCGTTCCAGTGTTCTGCTACCTTCATTGTAAAAAAATTTCTTCCTCTTACCTAGTCTGAATCTACCCTCTTTTAGTTTAAAACCATTACCCCTTCTCCTATTGCAACAGGCCCTGCTAAAAAGTCTGCCCCCATCTTTCTTATAAGCCCCCTTCAAGTATTGAAAGGCCACAATAAGGTCCCCCCACAGCCTTCTCTTCTCCGGGCTGAAGAACCCCAACTCTCAGCCAAATGCTTCCAAGGATGGTGACTCAATCACTTCCCTGGGCAGCCTGTTCCCAATGCTTGACAAAAATTATGACTCCTCCTGTTGTATGTTAGTTGAGTCATTAGAATGTGGATAAAGGAATCTTTAAAATAATCTTCTAGTAAACTTAGTGACTTGGTAGGTAGAGCCCATTTTGAAGATAATGTCAGTGGTGAATGAGAGTTCCGGAAAAGCCTTTTTAAATGCACAGTGGCAAACTCTCCCAACCCAGAAGAAAGCTAAAACATAACAAAAATCACATTTTTTTGTATTGGGAGACCTTTTAAGAACTTGAACAAAGCAGGACAGAAAGGAGATCTGATGAAGGATGAGTATAAAGGCCTCGCACCTCCAAAATCAAAGGTGAAAAAATCACAGTTAGGAGGTACATAGGAGTTGAGACACATTCCATAGACATAAAATACTGTAGAATGAAGGATAGATAGGGAGGGAGAAGAAAAGATGGGCTGTTCAATACTGCTTACACTTCAGTTTTCACAAATTGTTCATAGTAAATGGATAGCAAAGCTAAGGGTTTGATTGAATGAAGTTATATTTACAGTTCTCTTAGCCTAACTGTAAAAGGACTTAAAAGATTTTGCTAGCTTTCATTGGTGAAGGAGTCAGCTGTTTATTAGCGTAACAATAAACAGAATAAAAAGAACATTTTGGACTTGAGTTACGGTTTTGTCTTCAGGACTGTTGGGAGAGTTCTTCATGCAGAATAGTTTATTGAACTAAAGTGGGTATTGGTGTGAAAAATCAGTTCAGTGAATGTTGGAATACACTGTGCATGTGAGAGGAAACAAAAGGTAAGAGAGTTTTTGAGTATGAATGTGAAGATAAATGAGCAACCAAATCTGTTGTTAATAGGAATGGAAGAATGAAACTGGAGTACATAATTAATCTCTTATTTTGCCCCTCCATGAATATTATGCTGAAAAATATCATACATCTCAAACTGTCAGAGCAATTTAGGTATTCATGTCACCTTCTATAATGTTTCTTTTCTCTCGAGGTTGTTCCTAAACACTGATGAGATTACGTCTTTGTTAAAAAATTTGGGCAAGATTGAATGGGGAACAACAAGGGAGTAAGTATTTTTTTAATGACAAGGATAAGTACAGTAACTTACTTGTGCTTCTAATGGTTAAATATTTATTGGAGAATAAATGTAAAAAAAAATCTGTATATGCTTGTGGGTTTGTAAGAGTATAATAAAACAAAGCAAAACTTCAGATGCTGGTATTTCAATCAGCATTCCAGTTAATCCAGTTAGTGTTTCAGTTCTGACATTTCAGTTTTACTTCTGTTTCACCCAATTACATTCCACTGTATCACTTAAGTTATGAAGATTTTTTTATGCTGTGTGCTTTTCAGCTTTGGCTGGCATTTTAACGATACAATCATAGAATCATTCAGGTTGAAAAAGACCTTTAAGATCATCGAGTCCAACTATAAACCTAACACTGCCAAGCCCACCACTAAACCATGTCCACAAGCACAATGTTTACACATTCATAGTACACATAATAAGATGTTTATCATTTCAGCATATGAAAATTATTTCATGTAAGTGTAAATAAATCTCTAAAATAACAGCAAATACTGAAATACATAGTTTATCCACTTCACAGTCTAAATACTGGCTGCATCAAATGCCAAAAGAAATTACTTAAGATGAACTTGAACCAGAGAAAAGCAAAAACTTTTATTTTAAAAATTGTAATTGCTTTTATTGTATTAGTCCCCTTTAATTGTTTTTCTCTGCAGTCTTTGACAAAAACTTGAGAAAATGGGATGGAATTGCTGTTAGGGCCATTTTAGTTAGCACTCGTTATGTTAAAAAAGGCTTAAGGCATACTATAGTATTTAAAAATGCTGCAGATTACAGTGAAGAGTGACTTGGTACAAAAGCATCTGACATGCCTTTTGTTTTTAACTTGAACTATCTATCACATTATTAAAATTTTTTTCAAATCGTTTGTACCTGTGGTCTCTGATCATTTAAGCAGGGGTAGCTCTTGTACTGAGTTGTGCCCAAGAATATGTGGCATTTCTGTGCCAATCCTTTTGAGGTTTCAGAAATCATGTTACCGGTTTTGTTGTCTTGTATTCAAAAACAATGCAGTTTATTTCAATCAGCTCTTAGGAGGTGTTTTCTTAACATAGTGCTATGTTATTAATCAAACCTCTGCTTTGACTTGTGTACTTTTCTGAAAACAGACTGGATTATGTTAATTTGTCTCCAAATAAATGTTTTCCCAAATGTAGTGAAGATAATGGACAACACATCCTTGAGGAAGTGCCAGGCTGCGATACTCAATCATCTGTAGAGAGTATGTTTCCAGCACTTAGCAGAGAAAGTAAAATAAAGGCTCTTGCAAAACAACTCAGTGTTCACAAAGAAGTGAAAAATACTCAAATACAAGAAACACTTCCTATGATACATCACCAGAGTACTCTTGCTCTACCCAAGTCTCCATCCAGCCCTGATGTCATAATAGAAGAAATATTTGAAGATGACCTGGAAAGTAAGTTTCTTCATACCTGATGCTTTCAATGTTCCATTCCTGAGCATCATGTTATTTATGTGTTTTGTATTATGTTGTGCGTTCGTACTTAAAGTTAGCTCATATGAATTCCTTAATGATGTCTGTATTTTGCTTTGGTCTTCTTTTGAGCTAGCATAGTTTCTTTTTTGTCCTCCATCACCTTACCTCAATGGAAACTTTCTCGCATGTTCTCTCAAAGAGGGGTCGTAAGTTCCTGTGTCTGCCTGGGTGCTTCTCTTTGACTCTTGGTGATTACAACCCCCTCAGAGTTTCTGACCTTGGCTCCTGGAGGATGCTTTTCTGGCAGTTCCCTTGACTTCCTGGGTCTTCTCCTAGGGCATTGTCCTACATTAACTGGCAATAACAGTTAAGTTCTTCAGCTTGTCAGGTTTTCCATGGACTGTATTAGTAAGAGTGTAGCTAACAGATCCAGGAAGTGATCCTTCCCCTCTCTTGTGAGACTGAATCTGGAGTACTGTGTTCCATTTTGGACCCTGCAGTACTGAAAGTCACTGTCATGCTGGAGTAAGTCCAGCAGAGCCTACCAAGATGGTGTCCAGGAGGTGCTCAGGGATAAGGCTGAAGGCGCTAGGAATAAGTTGGACCATGGAAATTCCGATACGATAAGAAGGGGTGAATAGATAGATGCGTCCCACAGTACAGTTAAGATGCTTAGCGTCAAGAGTGTTCTATGTCCACAACATACCTAGAAAATCCCTGTGATTAGTAATGCATGGGAAGGATGAGGGAGAGGGTAGGGGTGGTAGTGTATAGCTGTGATGAAGGTGAAGTAAATGTCAGAGCTTGGGCATGACTCTCTAAAATAGCATATTCCAGAATCCCAGTGGACTTCACAAAACTCTTGTCAGAACAAAATTCTTTCAAACTGCAGTGTTACATGAATTTTGCATGTCTTGAATCTAAGAATTCTAATGATAGGTTTGTAATCTTGGAATTACCGTGTGGGCTGGCCATGTGCACACAGTCACTGTGTGTGCATCTGTTTCAGTCACATCAGATAGGAGAATTTTTTGCCTTCGCAGTACCCTTACTGTACATGTAGTTTCTCTTCACTGTGTTTGCTGATTTAGCATGTATGTACAAATACTTAACTAACCTAATGCATTAAACTTCTCTCCTAAACCAATACACAGAGTTTCCCGCAGAATATCATGCTGATGAACAGAGGAAGAAACTCTTCAAGAGGGAAACACCTTTTCAACACAAAGCTGGTTAGTGGTTTTCCTGTCTGGTATATGGGTTAGTTTACTAGAAGGGACCTGTCCTCTAAGCAGTGAGAGCAGACACTGGGATTTGTTGGAGAGTTGGACACATATATTTAGCATTCTGGTTGGGATCAGGAATGTACTAGGAAGCAGATCTCCTGACCATCCCTAGTTAACATGTATTTGCTCACATTTAAGAGCAGACTTGGGGCACATGAAGTGATCTTCCCTCCAGTTAAAACTAATGTGGGAGGTGCTTACTGAGCAGATGTCATTTCTTAGCAGTTTTGCTCTGCAAAAACACTTCCTCGTCTGCTCTCCTTGCTAATGTAAAGACTATACCGTCTTTTAAGATTTACCATAAACCCACGTAGTTGGAAGATGCAATACGGGAATTCCCAAGCAACTTTAAGAAACTCAACATTGGCAGTGGTTCTCAACACCTGGCAGATATTTGTCATAGTGATAGCAGTGCTTGCTGTGAACAGTGGGACCCATTTCTTAGGTCGGTAGTTTATATCCTGAATTTTGAACTGTTGTCTTGTTCTCCCTCCATCTATGTTTGGTTTTCTGAATTATGAGTGAACAGATATATGTACAAAACAGAGAGTAATTTGAAGAAATAAGTTTCTTCATTCAAAAATTCAGTAGGCACAGTTTGTGAGGTGCTTCGAGCTTTGTTCATTGTTGAGTGTAAATGGTAATAAAAGTTCCAGAGTAGAGATCACAGTATTGGGTAAGAAAGACACTGAGGACAGAGGAAGAAGCACTGCTGCAAAAAGATGTGCCTTAATCTAGGACACAAAATAATACTAGCAAAGAAAAAAGATTAAGGAAATTACATTTTTTTGTTTGTTTTCAGTTTTTTGTTTGGGCTTTTTTGTGGTTTTTAACCTCAGAGTCATATAAATGTGCTTTTCCCTGGGAATTTCCAGTCCAAAAATTCATTAATTCACTGGCTGCTCCTAATGAGACTTGAAAGAGTATTAGGGAATTTGATCAGTTTAAGTCCATAACAAATTCTGTGGAAATAAGTAGTTAGCAGAGAAACTCTCCTAGTGCCCATAATGAAGTTAACATATTGTGTGCTCACCCTTTATTAGACATCAGAGAACTCTCATGGAGAGAGAAACACCTTACAACTATCACAGTTGTGTGATATTTGAGTCTTACCAGGCACTTAATTTTCAGTATCTGTTACATATACACTAGGAGAACAAAATCTTAAAGAGATTAAGTGATGACAGTTACCTGATGTGATCGTTTTTATCAGTAATACACTAAAATATGTATTTTGTGCAATGCTAGATCTTTGGGGATTATGGGAAGCATAATTTGAAATTTGATAAGAGATTTTCATTCTCTCCTGCTAGTGGGGTTAGTTATCAGATAAATAATATTTCTTAAATTTTTCAAGTCTTTTTCAGGCAGCTGTGGTTTGTTGGGATTTTTTGTCTGCATTTAATGTAAGAAACATACTCAAACAGCTTAAAGAAATCTCTTCTGGATCCATCTGGCTCTGCTGATCCAGAACTGGCCCAGCTCCTGTTACTGATTTTGGCTGGAGGTATCAGCCTTTGCTGATCTAGTGAAGTGACTGTTACTGCATGCTTTTGCTGGTCTACTTAAGACAATCTGGCTGACTCATCACATCATTGGAGGTGGTGACCAGGGGGTGATCCAGAAGAGTTAGCGTACCTGTAGCTGAAATCTTTCAAGTCCTTCAGACTCTTCACTCAGATACCGTCATTTCTGGAAAAGCGCTAGAGTAATAATCTTGCATCTGTTCTGGACACTGCATTTCATAAACTTCCGAGCACAGTCCTACGTATGTGCTCAGAATGTTTCAAATGCCAGATTCTTTGTACCATCTTTTGCCCACGATCAGATGTAGTTCAGGGATGAGCACAGAGAGTACGGTACTCTGGGATGCTGCAGATCTGTCTGCAGTGCCCGGATCAGTCATGCAGGTGGCACTGGACCTAGATGATGCTATCCACTCTTGGCAGGAAGTGTTGTGGTGTAAAATATTCCTGTAGGAATCAAGTTGCTGTGCTCCTAAAACCTTCTGACCCATCCACCACTTTTGGTGAGTAGCTTCAGGAAGAGAAGCCTGTATTTTTGGATCCCAAATCAAGGGAGGTACCTGCAGTACAAAGGATTTGGATGCTTAGTCAGAAGCACTGTCTTACATAGGGTAATCTTTTGGCTAGCTTGGGCCATTCCTTGATCTTCATGCATTATCACTGAATAACTATACAAAAGTGCTCAGCATACCTGTTCTTAAAGTTAGGAGTCTTAATGTCTCTAATTTGCTTTCTAGAAGCTTCCTGTTTCTCTGTTAAATAGAAGGAATACAAACTCTGAATTTGTTAAATTCAGGCTACCACTTTGTAAGCAGTGAGAGAGTCTTTTGTTTTGCAGGGTAGCATAAGGGAGGTAGTTCAAAAGAGCAGGTTTAATCAGAAAGTAAACATGGTAACTAGTTTGAAGCAAGTGTGAGCAGACTTGTCAGATGAAAAGCTATTTGAGGTAATGTTATGATGAATGCACTATAAACCTAATCACATGTCTAATATCTGTTGGAGCCATTTGGAGAGTGTTTGATAACGTGTTTTATGTCTTACTCAGGTTCGACAGAACTAGTGTTTGTAAGCCATGTTATAAATCCATGCCACTTCTATATTCGGAGATACTCACAGAAGAAAGAAGCCAGGGTTTTAGAGAAGAAATTGAAAAATTTTTGTTGTAATAAGAGTTCATATCTCTTACCTTCAGATGTTTTGGAACTAGGTAAATTACTAATTTATAAAGGTCTACATTAGCTTAAAATACTATCTTGCAGTATGTCTTCCTTAGGGTTTTTTTTCTCCTCCCTGCCTGCCTTGACATAGTAAAGCAGTCCTTATATGTTCTAGAATCTACAATTAATGCATTTTGGGAAACATTGTACAGTTGTTCAGTAGACTTTTATTAAATCATATGAACAAGAACAGCAGAAGTAAAAAAGACTCTGCAGTTCTTCTTCTCAACCTTAACAAATTGAGTGCTTAGAGTAGCCAGCAGTTGAAACACCTGGCTGTAAACCTAATGTTTTCCAGCATTAGGTGGTAATTGTTAACCGATAGTTTTTTCAGTATACTGATTTTAGTGACTAGCTTAGTTCTTTCATTACTTCAGTAAATCAGCTTTTGCTCATGCAAGCAACATTCCCTTTGAGTGGATAGGTAATTTTTTTTGAAGTTCACTAACTAGACGGAAACCATTCTGGAAGTAAAAATTAAAGACAATAATAAATTGCTAAATCATGGAAATTATTTTCTAGCCCACATGTTGACAATGTTACTTGCTTCTAGGAGGTTTTTAGAAAAGTGATTAGAAGTATGTAATAGCCCTCAACTTCAGTGGCTTTTTGGCACTTTACTAAGAGGTATAGAAAGTTTGCCAGAAATTACTTCTTGATACAAGCCAAACACCTCCTAGCCTTACAGACACTGTATAAATGAATGGGGGGAGAAAACTTCTTGTGGCTATTGAGACAAGTTTTTAATGTCTTTCTGTCTTTATTTTAGCAGTAGCACTCTTACTACCTCTGTGGAAGATAGGCAACAATGGAACATTATGCAGAACTGTAATAATACTTCCAGTGTGAAATATCTACAAATACTAAATTTGGTATTTCTTTTTTTTACTTGCTTCCATATAGGTGCTAGAACTTTTATTAAGAGTAAGGAAACTGGAATGTGGTGCCGTGGAACTATCACTGAACTAATTCCCCTAAAAAGTAAAGATGAGAGGAAGCCTCGTGGTCCGAGAAGATGGAAAGTTTGTGATATTGCGCTGCTGAAAGTATTCCTGATCGATTTTGGGAGCTCTGTGGTTCTAATTTTCTCAGGGTATGTTTACAGAGAGAGGTTTTTGTCTGCAATTGTTGTCCTTGACTGTTGTTACTCAGGAGGATTTCTACTAAGAAACAGGTCCTCCATCACCTTCATGCAAGCAGATAACCAGGTATCCAAATGACACTAATGTTCTGTATGTGGGTATGTCCCACAGGAAAAGTGGCGGTGTATGTAAGTATACAAGTGTACAAGCCTTCATACATAAAAATGTTTAACTTAGACTTGCATTGCAAAAGAGAACACTGAGTCCTCAGTATTAAAAAAGAAATGCATTTCACTGAGACTTTCTGGTTTTGTTTCAGTGACATGACATTATGCCAATTATTGCAATAATGACCTTTATTTTAAGTCTGGGGTTTGGTTTGGGTTTTTTTTGGTGTTGGGATTTTTTGCTTTTCTTTTAAGCTAGTACTGCTTCTATTCCCGTTGACAATAGATATGTTCCCACTGAAAGGCCTGAACCTGCTGCTCTGCAAACTATTGAAACAGATGACATTTGTTTGTTTGTAAGGAAGCCTGATCAGCATATTGAGGCAGAACTTGCAGCTGTTCCTCCTTTAGCAGTACGGTGTTCATTGAAAGATATTGTTCCCAAAAATGCAGTAAGTAGAAGCTGTACTATTTCAGGAGATCTTTTTTCTTCCTAAGATTTATATTAAAGAACTTAAATACATAATTTACAATGATCTTATTCCAGTATAAACAGAAGGAAACTCGAGAGGAATACAGGGTATATTTTATTTTAAAAAAAAAAAAAAAAAGTTAAATCATCTCTTGTAAAAAGATGGGTTGCATTGCTTTCATTGGAAAGGAAACAAGAGCTTATAGCAGTCTGTCTTAAAAAGCCTCTGGGTTTACAAATTCGTATTTCAGGCTTAAATCTCACTACTGTTACTCTATCTAGATACGTTCTTTTGTCAAATTTAAAAACAAATTACAGAACTGATATTTTTATTTCATGGCTGGCTGATATTATGCAAGTAGTAACTTTCAAAAATCATCCAAACAGAGAAGAAATGGTTTCAGAATTTTTAAGATGATCTTTTCAGGGATTGTCCTTTGTTATTTAAATTTTTTTGCCAGATATTGAAAAGTGTTATTTGTTCTCTTTCAGTATAACAACAAATAAAGTACTATCAGCCTTTATTCCCTTAGAAAAAAGACGTATATTGCAGCATTATTGTCTTCAATATTCACTTATTTATTAGGCCTTCTTTATTTTTGCCACATTCACATGGGAAAGAACTATGTCCAGTGCAGCTGTGCGTTTCTGACAGTACAACTGCTGGTTGGTTTTGGGTTTTCTTACCAGTCTGATGATGTCTGAAGTAGCTTTAAATAGGAAAGATCTGGAACAATTTTCACAGGTGTGGGTAAAATGCCTTGTCTGTGCTTTCATTTTTTTCACACCTAAAAAGCACAGATTTGCAGTATCAAATGAGAAATGCATTAATTTGCTCCAAGAGAAATAAATTCAGACAGGCTTTTTCAAGGTAGATAAAATGTCAAGAAGGATGTTGTGGACAAATGGTAAATTGGTAAATTGACCAAACTATGTTGTACATTCATATAAAGATACGAAAATGTAAGAATAAACTTTCAAAACTAATTGGGAGAGCAGAAATGTAAATCATGAAATGAAACAGCTTATGACAATCTGGTTTATCAGAACAATCAGAGGGAATGAAATCTTGAATCTTTAAACATGATGGAAACTGCAGCCCTTTGATCTGACTCACTTTTATGGATTTAAAAACACTTACAAATCCATCATAGAAGAATACTGTTCAATGCTGTCCTGGCTATGGACTAGACAGTCTAATGGTGTGGTGTGTTCATTATTTAATCTGTAAAGATGCATCTGTGCTCCCTTCCTTGTTTCTATTTTATTTTATTTTATTTTTATTTACTATTTGTACTTTTTGTTTCAACATTCTCTTACATCTTCAGTAACTTTTTCTTTCTTCCTAACACAGAGTGAAGGTTGGGGAGAGGAAGCAAAGACAAAATTTTTAGGAATGGTAAATAATAAAGTTGTTTTAATGACCATATTTAGAGAAGAGGATGGTGTTCTCATTGTGGATTTGAAAAAACCTCCGTTTAGTAAAATAAGCAATAACATGCCAGTGTCTCTCAAGGATGCGTTGGTTTTTCTAGACTTGGCAAGGTATGTGTTCTCCTTTAGTTTATGCTCTTATGCCATAAATGATAACGGCATAATACTTACAAAGTGAAGTTTACCAAGCAAGTTGTTTCTGAAGTGTTTGATATGTTAATGTGTGATGTATTAATCTTGAGCAATATCTCTTGATTTCCTTTTTTTACCTTCACTAATAAGCACTGTGGCATCTCATTTGCACTGCTCAGGGCTTTATTTGGATAATTAACTTTATTTTAGAAAATGGCAAAATTTATGTTTCTGTACAAGTTTGAATAACAAGGGATTGAAAGGAGAAGCCCTTACTTAGTGTCTACCACAGACAGAAAAACATACAGACACCAGCCTTGTTTCTGTTTGATTTGGCTGGTAGGCAGTGACAGGATAGTCAGCCCATCTGAACTAGCCACGTGATGCTGATGCTTACAGCACAGTGAATAGGAGAAACAATGATAGGGCGTAAGGGGGAGCTTAAGCTTGGCATTAGGATGGAGGAGAACTGCTTTGGAGGGACCAGTGGAAGAGGCAGGAGATGGAGAACAACATGAGTGTTTTGGTGTTTGGGTACAGGGGTATGGCATGCAAATCTGTAGGAAATGATAGTTCATTGTGCTGCACACAGAGAAAGGTCTTCGTTTATATTTGAGCATAACTAGTTATGGTGGTGAGAACAGTGGGAGATTTTTTTTACTGCATCTGTGTTCCTCAGGTAATTGCTTTTCCTCATAAGTGAGGAAACGGAAATCTGAAAGAAAATGGTTTTGTCGATGTAGTGGGTTCTAGCTTTTTATTTTTTTAACAATCTAAATGTATGCTACTGCATTGCAAATAACAAAATCTTTTTGGGAGACAGCTGCCATATATCGTTCTTCGTATGTTACATTTGTGACGGGAGAAACATTAGAGAGAATTGGCTGCACCAGCTGCAAGAAGGAAAGTTCAAACTATTCATACAAACATGAATCAAGTTATAACACCATTTTGCGGTTTTTATGGGAAACTTGACATTTGAATATAGAAGGGTTCCTTTTCAGTTCATTTTGGCAGAATTTATTCAAAATTTCATTTTGTTTATCTTAGGTTTAGATCACAGCTTCCCAGTCAGTTAGAAAATAATACCGTCTTGCGGTATAATCCACCTAAGATTCCACAAGAAAGAGAAGAAGTCTCTGTTGTAGTTTGCCACATCAATAGTCCAAGTGATTTCTATATCCAATTGGTAAGTTTAGAAATTAGGTCTATTTAAATAAAACTCTGAATAAGCATTTTAGTGTTGAGCTACTTCTAGTCCACATTAAATCAGGTAAAATGTACATTAATTTCTGTCACTTGTTACCAGCTTTAGGATTCCTGGAATTAATAGATGAGGTTAGTTCCTACAATCCTAGATTAATCCTAGATTAATTCCAGGAATTCTTAGAATTCCAGAAAGTTAACTTTGTCAGTTTTGTTACATGGTTAATTTCCTGTATGGGTATGTAGTGTTTTACTGTTTAGAATGGTGATTGAACAGGGCAATATTCAACAACGGTTTAATTCACTTTCTTTAATTCACTTTCTGTATTCATAACCACTGTTTAATTGGGGGGGGGGGGACAGGGCGACTAGGAAGTACACAACTAGAAAAAATGTCCCTTAAAAGAGAAAAAATACCATTTAAAAAAAAAAAGAACATCTGGTGTATATGATTGGTTTTGATTGTTTTGTTTTTCTTATTTTAGGGAGCGAGCCTGGATTCTTTAGCTCTTCCAAAGAAAATTCAGGAGGTATATAAACAGGAGTATGGGAGAAACTTAGATATTGTCTGCCCAGTTGAAGGCCAAGCCTGTATTGCAAAACAGAAAGATGGGAATTGGTACAGAGCACAGATTATAGGTGAGGTATTGATTCTTTCATTCTAATGCTAGGTTGCAAAATGAGATGTGGTACTAGATCAGAGTCACATGCTGGATATGAATAGTAACAAACAGCCCTAATTTTTACTAGGCATTCTTCCACTAACAGGTAGGTTCATAAAGTCAGTAGCACTAATTCATGTTATATTCTTTTTCTATTAATGGAATGTTTTATACATCTATCTCTTTTTAAAGAAAGACACGTGGTATACTTACTTTCCTATAAATTATTGACACTATTATATAATTATTTTAAATAATGTTTCACTTTCTTCTATTACAGTTTGAACTACAAATTTGTCTATTATAGTCAACCTCTGAGTGTAATGAGTGTGTGTTAATAATTCCCCATAGTAATTCCAAAGAGGACGGGGAGTGTACTCGTGCTGACCTCTTGTGTTGCCTGTATGCTGACAGGTCTACTTGGCATGTATTTAATGTGCCAGTGTCTCATAAAGTGATTAGGTGGAAAGGGACCAAAATGCTAACTCTGTCATTTCAGGAACCCAAAAGAGCTGGCTCTTAAAGAATATAGTTTTTGAATTGGTTTATAGAACATTTGAAAATGTGGTATTTTATGATGATAGGGTGTAAATGTGGGTTTTGCTCTGAAATTCTGGTGCTTTAACCTGTATCAGGTACCTATTTTTTGTTTTAATAACTTGGGTTGTTTTTCTTGAAGGGCTGCCAAGTTGTCAAGAAGTTACAGTAAAATACGTTGACTTTGGCAGCGTCGCTAACTTAACTCTTAAAGACATTCGAAAAATAAAAAAGGAGTTTCTCAGCTTTCCAGAAAAGGTAAACTAGTGCTTGCCTGACTTAAATATTCAAAATTAATACAATCTCAGTGGATGGAAGGGGAAAAAGAGGGCTGTTAACGTTCTGAAGTAAATAAAATGTTAAGCAATAATAAAATGTTCACATGGGTTTATGATGCGACTTATTTAATACATTTTGGTTGCACATTGAAAATTCCTAATTTTTTTTTATCATTCAGTTTTAAATGAAATCTAATGTTACCTTGCAGTAAGGAGGTGAATGAAATCTAATGTTACCTTGCAGTAAGAAGGTGTGTATACATTGTGTGTGTGTGTGTGTGTGTGTGCAATTCAAATACCTTCTTTTACTCCATAGTAAGATGAATTAATTTTTACATTCCTTCATTTTCAAATGATGATCTAATAATGGTCTTACTAAAAATTATTTTTTTTTGTTTTGTGACATTTAAAGTTTTGTGTTTTTCTAACTTTAGGTATTGTAGGAGTTTCCCCCTTCTGAGAAAGAGGAAAAACTGAGTGGGAAAGGAAATGGCAAAGTATTTCTGTCAAATCAAAAACACAACATAAGTAGAAAATAATTCGTTTTCTTCAGCTGTTCGTTCCATAGTTCTGGTTGCCAACTGTAATTATGCTAAACTTTAAAACTTCGTATGCTGATCAGGGTTTGTTAACCAGTTGTAGGCACCAGAAGTAGTGACTGTTGTAACTAAGGTTGGCCAGCATCTTTTACTGAAAATAGGATTTAATTGTTTGTATTTTGAGCAGATGTTTCTGGGGAAAGTTTTGGCCAAAATAATTGAGCCTTTTTTGACAGGAAAGGAGAGAAAACATTCTGAAAATGCCAAAATGTTCTTGCAGTTGCAATGTATTAATACTTCAGATCAGAGTGGCTAATGAATAAGGGTGTTGGGATTTTTGATGTGTGTTATCCCATCATTCCAACCGATTGCTTGTTACTGACCAAAAATAAATCCTCAGAAGAACCCGTTAAGAGTTTGTCATACTACTAGGCCTCCTCACTTTGAACATAAAGGAGAAGGGGCTGAAGAGTTAACAGATACAGATGGGTATATGACCACTAGAGAATGGTCTAAAAAAACTTGAACCCATCAGTTACTCTCAAATTTCAGCATTCTTATGCCATATATAGGTTATGGTGAAACACTCTGGCAAGGTGTTTACACCTGAAGTTTACGTAAGAAACTCCCATTCCTGTTAGCTTTAATGCAAGTAATAGAATGATCAGCAGACTTGAGTCTGCTTATGTGTTGCTATGGTTTCAATTTTTTTCTATTTAAAAAGTAATTTTTAAGGATTTAAAATTCTTTGAAACATGAATGAGCACAAAGTTGCAAAATAGCATTCAGAAGGTCAGAGTAGTGAGGCTGCTTTGCAGGTCTGTCCTGTTGCATGTAAGCATTGGTAAGTCGTCACACATGATCACATACTGCATTTCCTCAAATGTAAGTTGGTTGTTTGAGAGGTTTGCATTAGGCTGTAAAAGAGAGTTGGAATTTTTTCAAACGAATAATACAGTCTGCAGGCATTTTAATGGACTTGGATGGTGCAGAAATCTTGGCCAAGAATGGAATGAGCCGTGCTTAAATGTGGTGTTGATTATGTCATCCACAGCCCTTTCTTTTAATGGTTATTTAACCTGTCAGTCAGTCTTAGTTTCGTATTCCTGACTGCTGTTATTCTAAGAATATCTGCACAAAACATGCTTTTTTCTATTGTCTTTATTTCGTTTCTCTCCGCTTTCCCCCACCTGTGTTAGTTTTCTTTCTTTTGGCACAATAACAAGGTACTAATATTAGATGCTTTGAGTCTGGATTATTATATTCTGATAAGCAAAACAGGATAAAGGCTTTCTTTATCACCTCTCTGCAATAATCTCTCCTGGTCTCTGCAGCCAATTCTATGCCTAGCCATAAAGGGAGGCAAGGAGAAGTAAGCTCTTTCTGTCTCAGCAAGAACATATCTGAATTTGATGTTCGTGCTCAGCTGCTGGTGGGGGGGGAATCATCTTAAATCAAATAATGGTCATGTGGAACCAGGAGCCAAGGTCATGGTGTCTTGCTCTTCTGCATGAGTGCAAAGCAAAGACTGTGATGTGGCTATAATGAGATGGTTGTGATATGTGATGGTAGATACATAATTTGAGTTATTCTTTAGGCAATCAGGTGCAGGTTGGCTTGCATTGAGCCTTATAAAGGGGCAAATGACTGGAGCAGAGAAGCCAAGGAAAGATTTGAACAAATGACTGAAGATAAATTTATGCTATGTTCAGTTGTTGGTAAGTTATCGGAAGTGTATTAATTTATATTGAAATATTAAATTAATTCAGATGTAGAAACATGCACTTTCAGATTTTGAATAGTATTTATTTGAAATGCTTATGTTCATACTTGTGAGAGGCAGCCAGGAGTGAGAATATCTAAACATGAACTAATTGGAGGAGACATAACAGATACAACTTCTGACAAAAGCTCTGTTTATGACACCAGCATTACGTGATATAAATATCCTGGTTTATTAAGATGGGCTTGTTCCCAAAAGTACTAGCCATCCTTGACTGTTCCTGACATTATTGGTAGCTGGGAGTGTGATCCCTGCTGCTCTAAAACATTGCGGGGGGGCGGGAGGGAACAAAAAAACAAAAAAAGAATTTCAGACAACACATATATGCCTTAGTAGGATTTTTCTCAATACTACTTACTGTTAATATGCAGCTAGTTATTTTTCAACACCTGTGGTGGAATGGTGGTTTGGAACCCATGTAATAAATGAAATGACACGCAGCAGTTGCTTTCTTTGTACAAAAGTATTTTGTAGTTGTTGGTGTATTTTAAATGAATTTTATTGATATGTGCAAAGCTAAGCCTCTACATATTGTTGATGTTCAGAATCAATTATTTTATAAGTCAAATGTAATTTTACAAAATTCCATCTCTTAGTACTATTTGCCATGTCTCTAAAACGATAGTCTTTACTGTCATTGATTGGCACTAACTACATTTATATTATTTATTCATAGAAATTTTAGATAATAACATCTTATCTATTGAACTCTTTGACTCTTCTGCTGTTCATGGAAGAAGCTTTAGTGTTAACTGCCAGCTAGTTAAAGAAGACCTAGCATCCTACATACCTGGGTAAATACATTGCGCATAACTTGAAGTATTTAGAAATACTGAATTTGTGTAAGAGAGTTACTGGCTTCAGTATGGCACCTCGAGTGGCCAGGATTTAGCACATTTGTGATGAATTCATTACAAACCACATGCATCAGCTGACCTAAATTACTCTGCAGTTTGGCATAGTTGAATTTAGTTGGAATGAGGTTTCCATTAGGGGGAAGGGGGCTGTTTTGTGGGGGCTTTGGGAGTTCTTGGCCTGCTTTGTTTTCCAGTGCACATAGGTCTCTAGCCCTCCAGAGCTCATTATCATGCTTTCTCACTGAATTTCCCATTTGTGAGGATGGATGTCTGCAAAAAGGCAAGAGACTGGTGAACAATTCAAACCCAACTTTAGGTCATTTAGAATTGCATTTGGGTTCTGATTACTCTTCCAGGTTGAATGCTGTTGAGGGATGCCCAGGCCAGCTCTCAACTGGGAGAGCACAGTGGTCTGTTGAAGCTGACCTGCTGACAAGCAAACATTAGTAACCTTACTCTTGCATTGGGATAGGAGGTAGTCCATACAGAATTCCAGGAAGAAAACTCGGGAGTCTGAAGTTCATTCCAAATTGGTTGGTTTTTCTGGTGAATCTGCAATGATAGTGCTATACTAGAGTTACTAGAGAAGGGGTTTTAAGACACGTGACGTATATTTACTTGGGAGAACTCTGTGGCAGATTGCCTCTGTCTATTTCATAGTTCAGACTACTGGTAGGCAAGGTAAGCGTATTTATGAGCTATGGTGTTCATTTCTTTCCTGTTTCTACAGGTCAGCTGTTTTACCCAGCAGTTTCCAAATACCTGCATCAGGAAGGTTTGCATAAATAATTGTGTAGCAGTATGTAGTAGATGATTCAATATTTTACGGGATTTTCTTTCTGGCAGAGTAGTTTGTTTCCTTCCCGTGAAGGAAACGCGTGTTAGATTTCTGAAAACAGGAGTTTCTTCCTGGAGGCCCAGGAATGGCCAGCAGTTAAACTCATGCATGCTGTCTCCTTTAGTCAGTGATATTTATAAGAATCCAGTTCTTTTGTGTTAACAGTTGGGTTTTTTTCAAGCTGCAATCTCTTAATTATAGTTGGCATATTTCACACAGACTCTACTAAGCTGGGCTGTGGCTCAAAATACATACCAGCCAACTCTTGATTGCTGTTGGGCTTTATTATACGCAGTTCACACAATTTAAGCAAGTTTTCATCAAGGTGTTATCATGACCATACTTCAGTACTTGACTAGGAAAGTGTTAGCACCAGTTGTGTTGTATTTGTATCCTCAGGGAAAGCTAGAAAGGTAAATGTTTCACTAATGTTAATATTCTTTACTTCTCAAAGGAATATTTGCACATCTTAGAAGTTGAATGTCACAGCTCTCACTCAGAGGCAACATTGATTTCCAGAAGCATGGTATTAGTAATTTGAGGTCTTTTAAGCCAAACAGCAGTCCATTTGTGTCAGGCTTGTTTTTCTGCTGGCAGCCTATGTTGTGTCGTGCTTTCATATGTCAGTAGAATGTGCAAGGATACCTTCTGAAGGAGAAGAAAAATAAATTACTGCCATGAGTGTTTCAAAAGTAGCTTTTAGAAATGTTTTTGTCTTTTGTTGGGATTTTTTTTTTGCTTTTTTGAGTTATTTGTTAGTCTTCACTCTTCATGTTGTGATTGCTGTCATGTTGAACTGTGATTATTGAGCTCTTTTTCACTTTGTTTAAAATGTGTTTAAACTTTCTAATTACTTTTTGGTCTTCACAGGTACACTGAAAGTACTGCTGTAAGGCCCAATGAAATATGGGATGCTCCTCTAGAAGAAATTCCTGAAACCTCGGAAGATTTAAATCCTATAGACATGGAATCTGTGCATGAAGGAGATTTCAAATCACTTTCTAAGAAAGAGCTGCAAGTGAGAATCAGTCATGTTGTGTCTCCTAGTAAAATTTTTATACAGTGGTTGTCATCAGAAAGTATGCTGAAAAGGTACTGAAATCTAAAGAACTTTTCTCGAGTTAAGGCATTCTTATTATAGGTAGAACCAACTCTGATTAGGGTGCATTTGGCACAGAGTACTCTTCTGAATGCTGTTGATTTATCTTGCATTGTTGAGGAAAGTACAGGAACAGAAGACAGATGGCAGTATGATGTGGTTTATTAAATATTTCTGAATCCAAACTAAGTACATGATCTGAATTCCTATTTCAAATCAGTTCTAATGTAGTAAGTATTGGGGCCCGGTAACTGTCCAGAAAGATTAAATCTTTATGCTCTTTCTTTTCTCCTCCCCATTCCTTCATTAGAAATCTTGTTAAATAATACCAGGGTCCTAAATTGTAGTACTTCAGTCAAGTTATTCCTTTCAACATGATTCTAATATGCTGTTGGGAACATCTGAAGGCAATTTCTGTAGACACAGTGTATATCAGCCGTCCTTTGGTAGATACGTAGGTAACATTTAGCTAATAGTGCATGCTGTTTGAAGACAGTTAAATGGAAATATCACTGCTTAGTGCAAGTTGCTTATTTCCTGACTCGTCATTTCTCCTTTCTTTCATCTTTTTACCTTTTTGCATGTGGCTACCTAGTCCCACTGAATTGGTCATGACACTAAATGAATACCACACTCTCAAATTGTTGAGAGAAAATAGTGCATCTTTCAAATAGTGCTATTACAGAAGGGTCAGAATTGCTCAGATTAATCCTGTTGTTTAAGAAAACATAGTTTTACAGGATTTTAATGAGATTGCATGTGTTTTGAAGCTCCATTTCATGTATTTGTAACATGTCGTGAAGAAATACAATACTATGTGTCTGTTAAACAGTTACTAAGACTTTACTATATGCTATTTAAGCAGTAATGGACTAAATAAGCCCTTTATTCACTGGATAAAATTTTACCACTAGAAAAGTGGTTTTTTGAATGTTAGTTTATAGTTTGCAGGAGAAGATGGCTACCATCTACAAAGAATCCCAGCCACAGTCTGTGAAGTGGGAGAGTACCATGCACTGTGCTGTTTACGTACATGATTTGAAACAGTGGCACAGAGGCCAAATAATCAGGATTGTCTCCAAAACAAGTGCAGAGGTAAACCTGTTGTCATAAGAGGGTTCGTACTTCTATTTCTAAAGTTTGTAAGCATTCATTGATTAAAATAATGTCAAACCTTTGCTTCTTACTTCAGTGTTAGTATTTTCTCATACAGCCCTTTGCTTTTGTCGAGTTCAAGTGACGTCGTTCATTGCTGCAAATAAGATTACTGTCTCATCAAAGCTCAGGTGCCTTTAGCAGGGAACCTGGTAGCTGAGAAAGGCTCATGAGGTTAATTCTTTGTGTTTACACTACACTTTGCAACACAGCACAGATTCCCAAGCTATAGCCTAACAGTTTAGCTTAGATTCTAGAAGCTGTGTGAACCTGAGGGTCCCATTAATTCAAACTTGGCGATCCTTGCTAAACAGTGGAGCCAGTTGAACTGAGTGCAGCACCACAGGAACACATGTAGTCATGCTGTTGCTTCAACCCTGATTTGATGGTAATGCACTGTGCCATGTAGGTGTAACACTTTCCACAGTAACTTCTCACACGGTGCTGCTTTAAACATGTGTTTTGTTGCACTCATTTGAGAAGAGTAAGGTGCATCAGAAGAAGCGTTTCATGAGTAGATAACTTACGTCAAAAGTAAGAGTGGCTTTTTAATCATACAGGACTGGATTACAGAACTGGATTACCATCAGTTCTCTCTGCCATCATCAGATTAGAATCATAGAATGTTTTGGGTAGGAAGGGACCCCTAGAGGTCATCTAGTCCAACCCCCCTGCAGTGAGCAGGGACACCACTAACTAGATCAGGCTGCTCAGAGCCTCGTCCAACCTGGTCTTGAATGTTTCCAGGGATGGGGCCTCCACTACCTCCCTGGGCAACCCATTCCAGTGTTTCACCAACCTCATTGTAAAGAATTTCTTCCTTATATCCAGTCTAAACCTACCCTGGTTTAGTTTAAAACCATTACCTCTTGTCCTGTCACAGCTGTCCCTGCTAAAAATATTTCCCCATCTGTCCTTTAAGCCCCCTTTAAGTACTGGAAGGCCGCAATCAGGTCTCCCCGCAGCCTTCTCTTCTCCAGGCTGAACAAGCCCAACTCTCTGAGCCTGTCCTCATAGGAGAGGTGCTCCAGCCCTCGCATCATTTTAGTAGCCCTCCTCTGGACCCGCTCCAACAGTTCCATGTCCTTCCTGTGCTGAGGTCTCCAGAGCTGGACGCAGTACTCCAGGTGAGGTCTCACCAGAGCAGAGTAGGGGGTTAGAATCACCTCCCTCGACCTGCTGGCCACGCTTCTCCTGATGCAGCCCAGAGTACAGTTGGCCTTCTGGGCTGCCAGCACACATTGCTGGCTCATGTCCAGCTTTTCATCCACCAGCACCCCCAAGTCCCTCTTGGCAGGCCTGCTCTCAATCCTTTCTTCCCCCAGCCTGTACTGATACTGGGGGTTACCCCGACCCAGGTGCATGACCTTGCACTTGGCCTTGTTGAACCTCATGAGGTTCACTCAGGCCCACCTCTCCAGCTTGTCCAGGTATGTCCATGGGTCTTGTTAGTAGGAAGCAGAAGTGGGACTTCTATGCTTCTGGTTTGCATCATCTGCTTTCTAAGGCTAAGAGCCCTCAAACAACTATTTAACCATGTCAGAATAAAAAGCGAGGGGTGGAAGGGAACTATTTCAGCGTTTCTGGATTTACAAATTTAAATGCACCAACATAACTGAAGCAGGGGAAAATAAATATTCAAGTAACAGCTTCTGTAAAGTTGTTTAACCCCCTTTGAGCACATTTACGTGTTTTGTCTTCTTGGTACACTGTGGTAGTCATTTGTGTTGTGTGATGGAGTCATTCAGTGCTAAGGCCATTTGTTGAATCCTGGTAAGGTTTGTCTGAATTTTGTTTACCTACTCCGGCATGCTTTGAATTATCGTTCGTTAGAGATAACACTAAGGGGGGAGTTCTGTTTCATTGCATTTCTTTTCTGTAACAGGTAATACTTTATGATTGTGGAGCTGAAAAAACAGTGGATATCAGCTGTCTAAGGAAACTTGAGGAAAACATGAAGATAATTAGGACATTAGCAACAGAATGTTCCTTGGCAGATATAAGGTAGCCTTTCCCTTATACTGAGTAGCAGTATTGGAAGCCTAATAATGGCATAAGTTAATATTTTCCTGTGTTAGCACTTGATTATCTAAGATTTGGATGTGGTTTGCTTTTTGAATAAAGAAGAAATAGGATGGCAGGTGTGATTTGTTTTATAAAGGTGTTTTTCTCTAAGGGTTATGCTACATACCAGTGAAGCAGAATCTGAACTATAGAAAGAAAGCATATTTCTAGGATAGATTATAAAATACTGGACAGATGATAGAGGTTTTTCTTATTTCACTGAATGCTTTTTTCTTTGGCTCAGAATTTGAGATGAATTAGATCTCATGAAAATGCACAGGAGGTGTCTCCCTTCTAGACTGTAGAAAAGAGAGATTGCATTTGTTTGTGTGCTGTTCATACAGTGAAGAAAAAATAATCATGTTTGTAATACCCATTCCCTGAATGAATAGAAAGAGCCCAATTTGCAGATGAAGGATGGATTTTCCTTTGTTCAGTTAAGACAGATGTCATACTTCTGGAACTCATGACCCTCATCAGTTTTGAAATTTTGGAGTTATATTTTTGAAATCTTCCTGTCATATAGATCCAGAGATGAATAACCATTTATTCTCACTGTTGACTGTAACATTGGTTGTATTTTTTCCCCTGACAGTACAGGCAGTTTCAAAAAGATCAAAATTCAGTAAAGGGAAGGGTTTAGTGATGTAAGTTCAACTTCTCTTATACTAAAGGCAATTGTAATTTGTTCTATGTTAGACCAACAGGTGGAAGCATGCAGTGGACAGCAACAGTGTGTGAATGTTTATCCTATTACCTAACAGGGGCACTAGTAAAAATAATCATACAGGTTTGTAATCAAAACTAGTGGTACTTGTAAAATTTCTGTCTGGTTGTCTGTTAATTTAATTTTTTTCTGAATATTTTCACTCTTCAAAAAAGTTTCGAGTGGAACTTGCTTAGATTGCTCTTTGCTGTAGAGAAAAAGATGCTTTTTCTTTTCTGCTTTGTTTTTGTTACTCACTGGAGCATTAGAGCAGTTAGGCTACCTGGTGTGGAAAGAACACAGTCTTAAATATATTTAGTTACTGAAGAATAATACTTACATCTTTGGGATCACTGGATGCTCATCTGTCCATAAAAGTTGTCAGCAAGATGCTCGTGCTCTTGATGAGAATAATTTCTACAGCTACCTATTAGTTTTATTCTGTTACCTTTTTTTAATGTCATGTTTAGAACGGTTGGTAAAATGATGAGAACTACAACGTGGATTAAATAAATTTCATGTCTTGTGATGTGGGCATCAGTTGTTCAACAACATCTGATTTGCAGATAAAAATGCAAATAAAATGAAAAATAACCTGTAGTTTAGAGGAAATGCATATTTTTATATGTTGTCCAACTCTCTCATTTTTTTTCCAGGAAAGTGATGTGGGTTGTGCACTGCCTGTGAAAATTCTTTGCAAAGATGAAACAGGACAATTGATTGATGTTTCAGAACACCTTATTAAAAAGGGTTTGGCTTTTAGAAACAGAAGGTTTGGATACTTCTATTTTTATATTCTTACAGACTCTCAGATTCACGTCGTGATAAGCTAATAAGTAAAACAAAAATGTGGGTTGTCCTCTATGACATGTAGCAACAGAACTCCATCTTTAGTGAACTTATTTGAGTAGAACATTATTAATTGTACCCACTGCATGTTTCAGTTCTCTAAGTTGGTAGATGAGATGATTGACAGTATTTCAACAAGCATTTGCCATCTTTGGGTGTTGAGGTTTTTACTTCTGTTACATTACTTTATTCTTCTGCACTTTCCAAGTTCTTTATCAGTTAATATGTTGGTATGATTTGATTGAATCTGCTAGAACTGATAAAGCTGGTGTGGCTTGCTCAGTCTCCAAGGAACATCTTAAAGTACATTTAGAGCAAGAGAACACACAACGGGATGGTTGTAATTCAGAAACTGCATGTGGAAAAAACAACGCTGCTCCAGAGGAAAACATCACTGTTTCAGAGAATGAACAAAAATCATGCAAAACATACAAGGCACTGCTTGAATCAGGAATGGATGAAATGTATAAATCCCCCCTTATACCTGAAGAGAAAATCTTTCAAGCTGTAGTAAGTTGTGTTGGACGTGATGGAACTATTTACATAATACCAAAATCATTCGGTAAGATTACATTGTAGAAAATACGTTTATATCTATGAATGTGATAGCTTTGGTGTATCAGAATATACCAGCTATGTGTTCTAGTATACATGTTCTGTATTGGACCACAGTTCTGGAAGATACCTCTTGGGAGGATTGCTGTTAGGAGGTGATGAGTCTTTTGGCGGCGGGGGGCGGGGTGCATGAAGCAGTGGAGAGAGGTCCCAGAGCTTCCCGGCAGAAGACACCCAGATCCCAGGGAGGTGGCACCCCATCCTTAAACACATCAACACCTGCTCTCCTGGCTTCCGCCCACACAATAAATAAAAAAAACCCAGGTGCTTGGATGAGCAGGTTTCTTGCCTCTCTTCTCTAGACAGTATTGGGTAAAGCAGCAGGTGCTTTATTTTATACGATCTTGAGATTGTGATACATTTTACTAACAATAATGAAGAAGCAGGCCTAAAAATTCTCAGAAGTTAGGCTGGTTCTCAAATATGACTGGATTTTTTTCCTTCAGTGTGAGCTCAGTACCCAGTTTCCTTGGGCTCTTTATTTGTACTGTGATATATTCTGTACCTCTTAATACTTTCTGTTTGCACTGTTTGAAAGAGGTATATTTTCATCTGGCAGATGCAGTGTCAGTCTTCAGTACCATGATAATATATTGTGCTTTAGAGAAATGTTTCTATATGAGAACACTGATTTATTTTTTTTTAAACTCTACAAGTATATTTAACTATTAGATCATGTCATAAAACTTTGAAATTCAAAGTATGGTAACACCACTTGCCCAAGACTCTATTCTTGAAGTTGTTGCTGTAGACTGTATCCAAAGCAGAAGAGGGTCTTCTGGACACCTGTTTTGTGTTATTTCATGGTGTCCTTCCACTGTCTCTCAGAATCTGTTGTCTTGTTCATGGAGAGACTCTTCTATTAGTGCTGCCAAGGTGTCAGTTGCAAAATGTATAGACCCTTCTTCTCTGAGATGAGAATCCAGAATTACTAGTGGCTTCACAATTGGAAATGCAGTTTACTTCTGTTTTAATACTAGCTTGCTCGCATATCCTAGAAGTTGAACATACTTATTCTGTCAGCATTGAAAAGCATTTTTTGGAGCAGCACACGTATTTTATGTTTATACATGTCTTCATCTGAATCTGCTGACTTTTTGTGACTGAAATAGTTTGTGCTACTATGTTGCCGACTATTGTGAATTTTTTTTTTATCCCTCACCTCCCCAGAAATTGAACTAAACAAATTGATGACTGAAATACAAAGTAACTTCAAATGCCTTGGTCTTCTGGAACCCTACTGCTGGAAAAAGGGAGAAGCTTGTGTTGTAAGAGGATCGGATACCATGTGGTATCGTGGTAAAGTTGTAGAACTCGGTAGTACTTTTCAGGTAAGTTTGATTATATGTCATGCGTGTGTGTGCGCATGAACATGTGCACATTTAAGTAAAAAAAGGGGGGGAGGGATAATATCCTCTAAAATAAAATAAACTTATGATCACACCTTTTTTTGTTCAGCTGACCTGACTATCCAGATGCTCATTCTGATTAAAAGTGTGATAACTGTCCTGATTTTTACATTTTTTGTAAATACTAATTTACAGACAGAATCTTAATTTACAGACAGAATCTGCCTATTTCAGTTGTCACAACTTTTCCCATAGTTTTCCTGGTGATGATAAATGTTCTTAAGTAAAAAGCTACCCTTGATCACCTGTAAATAATCCCTTTTAGGTTTTTTCTTCTTTTGTTTTTCTTGTTATCATATGTGAAATGCTTTGAAAATACTTAGGTTTAGCTTCCCCTCACCCTATCCCAACCCAAAAAGTAATGGATGGATGGCTGTTTTGAATTCCTTCTGCTGCACAGCTATAGAGCTTCTTTTTCTAATTAGCAGTTACTCTTATCTAAACTCTTGCATCTGCTCATGGTTTTTGAATATAGATTTGCAAGTCTGACACTATCCTAGTTCACAAATTTTTTACTTCCTTCAATTTTAAACTGCTGTAGGTTATTACAGAACAGGTGGGATCTCTTACAAGGCAAGTTTAGAAACTGAGCTTCTAATCTGCCATACCAGTTTTTTAATTCTTTCCTTCATTTCCACTTTGTCACATCACCCAATTCTCAGCAAACCAGTCTTTTTTCCTCCAGAAAAGTGAATGCTGTAAATGAACGCTTTCTCTTATTAAACTTGTCTTAAAAACCAGGAATTATTTCAGGAAAGCCTTTCTTCTCATGTAGGTACAGTACATAGACCATGGTTGCATAGAGAGAATTCCTCAGTGTCATCTGTATCCAACTACATTGTATACTGGTATTCCTCCATTTTGCATACCATGTCAGCTCTACAAGACAGTGCCAGTGAGTAATGGTAAATTTGAAGATGTTTTAGTAGGTAGTTACTCAAATCAATGCACTTTAGTCATGCAAAGGTTGAGACTAGTTGCTGGTATTTTTCTTGCTTAGGAGGATTCAGAGAAAAGTGATAAGGATCGTTTCAGCAAGGCAGCATTCTGTCAGGAAATGCAGATTGCTTTATGAAGTGGCTATGCTTCAAAAGCGGCTGCCATTGGAATTAAGTCTCTGTGAGACAGGATACCGCAGTAATTGGCAGGATGATACTCTGAAGCGGTAGTTCATTTTGCAATAGCGGCAACAAGGAGTAAGGCCTGGATTTCTTAATGCAAAATGGCCAAAAAATTCTAAATCTTCAAGTCTTGCAAAAGTGTTTCTATCAGTCTGAACTTAGCTGTGTAGAAAACAATCTGTTACAATAAACTAATACAAGTGAATTGTTGTAGGCATTTTTGTTAGTAAGTAATTAATATGTAAATAACATGTTCACGTATCATCACATCTTACTCAAATTTGAATGATGCATTTAGTAAATGTGAATTACTGAAATGACTAGCTTGCTTTAAAACTTATTTTTGAAGAAAACCTTTTTATTGCTGGAAGCAATTCAACTGATAGATTAAGACAGAGAGGCTTACAAGCCTGTGGGTTGGGAGGCAAAGAGATAGTGCAGGGAATGAAAGAAGTATTTAAAGTGTCCTGTGTTTTCTGTTGTCTCTTAAGTTATCTTTGAGTGTAAGTCTGTATCTGGGTTATGCTTTGGGTAATTGTGCCCACATACATTATTATGTATATAGTAAAGGTTGGTTAGGCTTGGCAAGCAGCATCTCTTTTTTAAGCCACTTCAAGACCTGAAAATTGCTGGTCAGCTTTGTCACACAGTAAGTTTTAGCGTACCAAATAGCAGATAATGTTTGAGCTGTTGTAGACAAATGAAACTAACAATGTGTGCTTTCAGATAAGTTTTTTAATTATAGGCACGCATTCTTACCTTACTATGTTAAGAATAGTAAGAGTATTACTTGTCAGCATCTTAATTTGCAGGGTTTTCTTGCTTTTCACCAAATAGGTTGGAAATTTTTGGCAGCAGGATGCAGTCGATTGCCTTCAAGAACTACTTACAAATGAAGAGGTTGAAGTACATGTTCAGGTAACTTAATCTATTCATAGATGTGGAATGAGGCTTACTTTTTGATCTCTTTTTTTGTTTGTTTGTTTTAGCTTGCAGTAAGAGTAATAGGTGAAGGAGTATAGCAGTAAATGTATTTCTTAGACAAGACAAAATCCAAAGCTAAAGCTATTTCTCCTATGACTTTACCTTTATTACAGTTTTCAGGCCATAAATGTGTCTTTTAGAGGTATTAGTATTTTTTGGTCCTGTTTGTATTGTCATGTTTCCCATAACACCCTCATAGGGAAGCTCAAGAAGTATGGGTTGGATGAGTGGACAGTGAGGTGGATTGGGAACTGGCTGAATGGCAGGGCTCAGAGGGCTCTGATCGGCGGGGCAGAGTCCAG